TTTACTTAAATTATTTTATTCAAAAATACATGTTTTTTGTAGATGTGGGATATTGTATCAATCTTCAGACATATAATATTTCGATGGATAGATTATAATAAATATTACACTGAACGAATCCCATTAAAATACAACTCTGATGAAAATGAACATGAGGAAAATATAACTGATTCATCGACCAAATCATACGATTCAAATTTTACTTATCTTTTCTCTGAATATTCCTCAGAATATAATTATGTCAGGAAAACCGTCATAAGTGGTAAAGTAAATATTTGTTATAAAGTAATGCATTTATTTTACGAGTTTTAGATTCAAAAATTAAATTGATTTATAAACGTTTTTCTTAGAACACTTATTTGTAAACAATATAACTTAATTTGTTTATATATTTAAAACTATTTTTAGAGTTTTTCATGGATTACCTCTTTTTGGTCTTTATTGGTTGGATTTTATTAGAAGTAACAGTAAACATCGACCTTAAGAAATCAACATTTATGGTAATATTTTATTATATACTTCCCTGTAATTAGTTTTAATGTCCAAAATACTAATTTGTATATTTTTTCAGCATGCTCCATACAGAATTTATTCCTGGCTGATAGTTTACTATACAAATATTGCTTTCATGTTCATATTTGTTAATGATTTTTCATGGAGACATCTTATACTACAAACCAAGAGCAGCCATTTTTCCGAGGAAATTTATCCAACATTTGAAGTATGACTATTTTTTATTGTAAAATTGTCTGTTGATCGATTCATAAATCTAAAAAATAAATATTAATTTAAAGAAATTTACTAATTACCTTAATGACTTACAAAACGATTTTTTAAGGGATATATTTACTTACTGGTGACAGCAATAGAAGTTTTTATTGTCCAATCGTTTTACTATCAACAAAAAACTGCGGCAATGAGTAATATAATTCAACTGAAATGGCAGTATGTCTCAAAAGGAAAAGTGGTTTCCAAAGGTTTAGATTATCCATCGTCGTCTACATTTTATGATGAGATATCTAATCAGAACTTCGATGGATCAAATAAAAAAATACCTTATGTGATCGACGTTAAACAAGATATGCTATAAAAAAAATGTTGATCTCATTTAAAAATTAAGAAGTTAATTATGTGAAATTTTTATTTATATACATTATTATTATGTTTAAAAGAAATTTCATAAAAAATTACTTAACATAAGCTTGACATAATTAAAAATTTCAAATGAACAAAAAATTGCAATTTTTATTTTAATTTCCTCTTATTAATAAAATATTCTAGTAAACAATTATTTATGTTTACCTAGATTATAATTTAATATGGCCCATAGTAGTACTTTATAGTTTTGATAATAATATAGGTTTTTGTCTTATATTTACAAATTAG